GACTCAGGTATTAATCACAGGTTCCTGATGTTATGTGCAAACATTATTCCACAGTGCACACACTAAATAAATCCTAATCAGAAAAAGATAATAACTATATGTATGCAAAGCTGTATCCTTGAGTCTGTGATAGTGATGAACGATAATCGACACCCTGAAGTTAATGTAACGCCACTGATATTAATGCTGGAGACTCTAAATTCTGTCCACAAGGACATTTTCTCCTTGGCGTGGTGCACTGAAATTTGCATTAATAACGAAACCAAAAAATCTTACATCATAAAACAGCCACGTGTTAAAGCCTCACATTAATAAACACAAGCATTAAAACACATGTGCAGTAATCTGGATATTTACATGTGATATCCTAGGGGATATGATTATAAGTTTGTTTTCTTTCATATCCTAAATATGATTCTTTCTCTGCTCTAAAATGGTCAAAAAAAGTTCTAAAGATTTATTAGAATAAACTAAATAGAAAAAAACTAAATAGAAATAGAAATTTTATTCCTCTGTGGCAGTGGAAAAATGAACCTTTGACTAAGTTTGAATTCTAAGAGGCCCACAGAAATGAGATGGTATAAATGTTGCTTCCTGGACTGAAGAGTGAGGCCAACACATTTTTTTCAGTTTTAAATAGACTGAGTATAACATTAGCATTTGTAACTTTTTTAACAACGCTATCCTATACAATAAACCTATATCATAAGATACATTTATATAGAGGGAATCAAACAGATTCACTCTATATTCTAGAAGTATCTGCTAATTAGTGCTAAATAACCGCACTAATTAGCTGTGCTAGAAAGTTCAGTCACCTACACTAGAGCACAAACTTCTTGTTGTGTTGTACCGCACACCAAGCCGTATTATTACCTGTATTATTATTAGTGGGGTGGCTGTAGCTCAGAGCAGGTAGAGCAGGTCATCCACCAATCAGGTTGGTGGTTCGATCCCTGGTTGCTGCAGTCTGCTTGCCAAGTATCCTTGGGCAAGATACTGAACCGCAATTTGAGTGGATGTGTGAATGTTAGATAGAAGAAGTTAGGCACAGAAAACATGCTGGTGTAAATGAGTTGATGAGACATGTTGTATAAAGTGCGCAAGTAGAAATGCTCCAAAAATACTAACAACACAAATACTGTTGAATGGTCCAGTTTACAGACTTTAATTGAAGGAGGTGAACCAGCTGACAGCTGTTCTGCTGAGATATATACAGTGAATTATAGTTATCCTGTCTCAAGGAGATAAATGGGGTAGTAGTAATGCTCCTATTCTTGAGAGGATGAACTTACATTTTGAGATACTCTTCAGCTGGAGAAAGCAACTGTTTACTGCATTTTATCGTGTTTGTCAAATTTCCTTGCATGCAGGTGAAGGCTGAATGTTAGTATATGTATAATATTCTTCAGGGGACCCTTTGTCTGAGATCTCTAAATTCTCTGAAGGACTCCCTAGACTGATATCTTTGCTTTCATGAAACAGGGTTGCCCTGTTCCAGGATCTCCAGACAGAAAGCAGCAGCTACACGAGGAGGAACAGCAACAAGACCAGCTGCTGGATTACCAAAGTGACTTTGAGAGTGAGAGCAAAACAGAGCCAGATTACAGTGCCAGTCAAGTGTCAGAGGATCTGCAGAGAAATGGAGGTGAAGAGAAGATGGTGTCAGAAGTCAGAGATGGGGGTTTGGATTCAGACATGTCTGATGGGAGGACAGAAGATGATTATTCGAGAGCTTTCTCAGAAGCAAGTCATTCCTCCACCTCACGGACCTCAGATCGCAGTCACACTTCCAAGTCAAACAGCCAAGGCAGAAGTGAGGACTCCAGATCGTCATTATTACATGAGGGCCAGGCTTCATATCAACAGTCGAGGAGACGTACTTCAGCCAGAAAGGTTTTAAAAGAGACTGCAGTACAGACCCATTCTGGTCCACTGGCTTCAACATGGCCAACAGGTTTGTCTGCTACACATAGTATTTGTCTATCTAAGATGTGAGAGAGACCACCATTTCTCACCAAAATTCCTTTAAATCATCTTATTAAGTGAAAGGAGATCTTGTTTGTATGAAGGCGCTAATCCGAACCTTATCTTGCATTGTTCTTTGGATCTAAGAGAAATACTTATTTACTTTTTAAAACCCTGTAACTAAAATGCCAGAGTAAACTGATATGCCTGAAGCTGAATTAAAAAGTCCACAGAATCCACAAACTTCAGAGCATTTTAAAGGTCAGGCTCCGTGGCTTCAGGCATGTGCAGAGAACTAGGAATAATTTTGTGTTGTTGGACTTGAGTGAGCGAGATAAAGAGTGAACTTGGCTGTGCAATACTCTGTAGGTAGGTAGGAATTTTAAATTGGATCCTTAATGCAACAAGTGTCACGGGAGCAGCCATTTGGCATTTGCGTTGCCTGCGAGCACTGGAAGGCAGATTTAATGAGTGACGAAAGCAGTGAATTGCTGAAATCAGTACAAGTTAAGATGAATTCATGAGTGAATATCTGAAGCTTCTTTTCACAAACGAAGAGAAGCTTGAAAGCTGTTTCACGTTGGTGTTGATTGACAGGGACTAACATAAATGAGTCGATGATTATGTATGCCGATGTGAACCAGAGAGGTCCCTGTTTTCTGAGTGGGCAACTAGAACTTGTGTCTTATCGCATTGAGCTTTAATTTTCTTTTTTCAGATATTCCTGCTGTGGACCCTATGGTGAGCATGACCTACATAAATCCTTCTCCAGTGGTCACTCATACCCTCAATGCAGAAATGGTAGAAGGTGAGAACCAATAAAACTAAATAAAATAAAAAATAATAATAAAAAAAAACATTATATATTTTTTAACATATGTACTCTTCCCATGGTCGATGTTTAAAATTTTGCTCTTTCACGTGCTTTTTTACCCCTCAGCTGTAAAAGTCTGATTGGGTATTGTTGTCACCCTGCCAGGCGGGCAGGCATGCTGTAGGGGTTTTCAAACTGATACCATAGAATCACCTCCAAAAAATCTTCGATGAGTTTGAATCTCAGTGACATTGACCTCAAAGTCAAGGTCAGAGGTCAAGTTTTCAGAAAATCTTATGAATGCAATAACATGAGAACAAAGCGATGTAGTATTTTAAAATTCATACCATAGGTGTACCTACTGGGGTGTACTAATACATCAGGCCAATCATGCTCCTCATTGGTTAAAAAAAAAGTAATCATGATTTTCTCCAAAATGCTTCAAAAATAAGATTTTTGATGGCATTTTCCACATGATCTTGCTGACAGATTAACTAACAGACGGCTCTGAAAACACACTTTCACTGAGACTCTTCACTTTGTCAAGAAAACTAGAAAGTTGTCAAATTTTGGATTTGTCACACTGATAACAGAAAATCTTTTAAACCTGGATCCAGACGGTAATTCTCAGGGATTATCAGGGTTTATACAAGGATGATGGCAAATTTCAAGTGAGTCATACTGATGGCTGTGGTGGGGCCATTTTAAAAAAAATATGTATGAAGCTGTAGCGCCATCTATAGGTGATATACTGGGAGACAGTGCCTTCCAGATCAGTTAAATAGTTAACGACATTTTTTGTTACTGTCATTTAAACATTCATAAATATTTCAATTTAACCCTGCAATGTGTATCCCTTGGTTCTCAATCAGCAATCAGCACCTTCAATCCAGCTGTATTTGTTCTCAATGAACTGCTAAAACAGCAGCTTGCCATCACAAGGCGGTTCATTGAAAGCAACCGCCATCTGCACTCCAGCCTGGTGCAGAGTCTGGAACCACCAAACTACAGATATACCACTCTCGAGGACACCAAGAAGGTAAAGTATACTCACGCACTGGCTGTGAATAACACTTATCTGTAGCTTTTTGGCTCAGTAATGGAAATAACAGACATTTAAAGTGTACTCATTGTACTAATTTCCAGCTCATTATTTTTATTTTTCATCTCCACAAAAGTAATTGCAAAGCAATACTGGTCAAAGTGTGACTTAGTGAAACTTTCCCCTCTGTTTTCAGCTTATCCACATGCACAGATCTCCCAAACTGACAATGAAGGAAGCTTTAGAGGAGGTACTGCAGGAGATGAGAGAAGACCATTGTATGTGACCACTGTGATTGCAAGGACCAGAAGCTGGATCGTGTCTTTATTTTTAAAGACATTTTTATACACATTTAAAAACTTTTTTTCCCCTCCTCAGTAGAAAATTACTTTATTATTCATAAAACACTGCATGGAATTTTATATCAAGTGTCAAAATCAAGAGCTGGCAGCCAAATCCATCACTTTAGGTTCTTAATACCGGAGTGGACATTATAAGGCTGTGGTCTGCTAATGTAAAGATGGGCACACCTCCACAGCACCTGCAGGTTAATGTAACTAACACAGAATGCAACAAAGTTGAAAGCTGATGCTGAAGGTAGATAAATTCATCAAAAGTGAGAGATTTAATAGCCTTAATAGTTATTTATATGCCAAAAGACAACTTCTGTTTTCAAAGAATGTAATTTTTGAATTCATACACCATCAGTGATTTGGAGTCATAGATGGAGAATGGAGGCATCAAAGTCACAGAATTTAAAAAAAAAAAAAAAGGCATGGAGTTACAGCACATTTCTCAACATTAATTTTTATGTGGAGTTAGTTTCATGGCCTGCATTTTTAATGAAATTTAAGTTTCATTAGGATGCATTTGGTTTTAATGCTCACCCCGAACCATGGATGTCATATTCATGCTTGTGAAACAGGTTGTTGGGTGTATGTAAGCCTTCTTGTAGAACTGCACTCACAATTCACAAATTACTATTAATTACTTGACTGTATTATACAGACTTGTTTTTTTTTTTGTTGCATGATTGAGGTGGTCATGTAGACCAGATGAAATGAATGGGTTTAAATGGACACACCAAACAGAATCTTAAAAGCACTTTCTTCTAAGATATAATATTAAAGAGACAGCTTAAGCCAATAATCATTCAGTGAAATAAACGCTTGCAAGGGAAGTAACAAAATGTTTATTAAAAAATTAACACATAATGTAGGGTGTTTTTACAGTTACCAGTTTTTCAATCTCAACCACCAATATTAACTTGAATTACTCTAACGGCAAGTGCAGAATTGAACAAAATCTAAAGACAAACTTCGATGGCAGGACCCAGGAACATTTATGATGTGATGTGGGAAGGTGTGTTGATGGGGTTGTTGAAGGCACAAATTCAGGCTGTAGTGTGAGTTGTCAATATGGGTCATTGAAAGGGTAGAAGGGATGTCCGGCATCCCTGGGAACACGCTTTCCTTCCACCTGCAGGAACAAAAGTTAAACACATTTAGCTTTTTTTGTTTGCATTTTGCAAGTTCATGTGTTAATTCTTGACATCAACTGCTTTTTCCTATTTAACCAAAACTGTCTGAAAATACGTATTCCACTATGGCTTAGCTAGTAAAAATCAACAACCATCTCCTTTGAATAAATACATTTTTTATTTTTTAAAAATGAGCCAACTTAATAATTCTTTAATGACTTTATTATATTCAATGAAGAGATGGAACATTTAATATTCATATAATGAACATTTTCCAAACAACAGGTTTCCAAATCACACATAAGAGCTCCATAATCCAATATAAACTAACTTCAACCCACCCCCAACTTCATAATCATAGGATAGGTATAGTATTTTTATTATTTTCGGCTCGTATTTACAAGATTTACACAAACATTGTGCACAGTGTTGCACTCATCACTTTGTTGTCTGCTCATCACTGCAGAGCTGATGTAGACAGTAAGAGCTACTTAGCGGTTATGTCCCAACATAAAGATTTATTAGAGTACTGATTAAGTCCACTTACTTCGATCATTGGTACGATGTAGCGCCAGCCTCTGGTCAGTGCTGCGATACTTTTCATTTCTTCTGCTTCAAGGGTAAAGTCGAACACCTGACAACATAACAAAACCCTTTACATACAACACAACATACCTCACTGTAGCTGGACCACAAAATGTAACATTTATTTAAATCTCACTTCACCTGTATGTTTTCTTTGATGCGGGACTCGGTCACACTCTTAGGGATTGTTACGACTCCACGTTGTGTCTGCCACCTGGAAATACAGGATTTGTGTTGATGTGAAGCTGCTGAAGGGTTTCGTCACCAAACCAGTGTGCATTTCTGCCCAGAGCATCAAGCACACAAGTTTTATACAAGTAGTATACTTCTTTTTTAGCTTTAGTTTGCTGTTTTAAAACTACAAATGTGAGTAAAGGTGCCATGCAGTACACAGTTTAGATGCATACTGAGCTACAGACTAACAAGCTGAATCTGGATGTGTTTTGGATGATATCATTTGAAATGTAAAATTGGAAACCTTAAGAAACAAAGAATGTAAAAAGGTCGAAGATAAACAGAGACACAGTGTGATCTTTGCTAAAAAACTACTTTTAGATATTCTGATCTATAGATTTACCTCAGGAGAATCTGAGCTGGAGACTTTTTATATTTCTCTGCAAGGGAAGAGATCACAGGCTCCTCCAGCAGGATGGGTTCGTTCGGATGTTTCCAGGCTCGATCGGCAGACCCCAGTGGACTGTAGGCCGTCATCACCAGGCCCCGATCCCGACAGTGGGCCAGCAGTTCTACCTGGGCCAGATAGGGGTGGCACTCTACCTGTCCAGCAAAAATGAAGCAATACCAGGGTCACCTCCAGCATTTTACAAACACCTTTTATTACCATCAACATCACAAACATCCTGTACCTGAAGGACAGTTGGTTTGACACTGGCGACCGACAGGATGTCATCAATCTGCCTGCTGTTGAAGTTGGACAAGCCAATGGCTCGGACAAGACCCTTTCCCACCAGTTTCTCCATGGCAGACCAGGTCAGCTTGTAGTCTGTGTCATCATATAGCAAGGTGCCATCCTCCTTTCTGGGGAAAGTAACGTCTCCTCGTCTAGGAGCAAGCCAAGAAGGTCTTAAAATACAGGCTTGTTTATCAGTTTGAGCATCAACTAACTTTTAAGAAATGTCATAATTTTTTTATAAACTTTTTTTTAATGAAGTAGTATAGTTCTTGTCAAAATCGTTTTAAAATCTAACTATTAAGCTGTGGGCAGATTAACTTGGCATAAGATAAGATATACAATAATCCATCAGTTATCTTGATATAACAAAGGTGGTTTTGGGAACATAAGCTAACTGTCTCATTATTGGACCATGTGGAGGCTGAGCTCACTGAAAGGCGTAAGGCCAGTGGATGAGGTAGAGGTCCAGGTATTCAAGTTTCAAGTCCTTCAGGGTCTTCAGGAGGGCTGGCTCGACATCATCTGGATGGTGCTTGCTGTTCCACAGCTTGGATGTGATGAACACATCCTCTCTTCTTAGGGACTGGAGCACAGAACACGATAAATATGAATTCTTTGTTTTTTGTTTTTAAAGACAGTAGTAGACCAGAGTGGTCAGTAAAGTCTGACAGGTCTAGAATCAGTTGCTCTCAGGGGACACATTTTATGTGCGTTTTTACTGGAGCTTTGAACAGTTTGGTGAAGCAGTTCTACCTTTTCGGGTCCGAGCTTTTCCTGCAGGGCTTCTCCAATCTCAGCCTCATTGCCATAGATGGATGCACAGTCAATGTGGCGATACCCAGCTTCCAGTGCCCAAATAACTGCTTGTTTCACCTGTTAGAAATAAATATACAAGTTTCAGTAAGTACCCATACACATTCTTAATGTTTGTACCAAAAAATCTAAACTTAACATCTGAATCTGCTAAATTCTCAGACCAACAAGTAAAAAATAAATGGGCTGCAATTACCGGACATAAAACAATACTATATTTACTTTTACTTTTTTTTTGTATATTACTATACAAAAAAAGTGCAACTTTATTGTGTGACATTAATATGAAGGAAAGGGGTAAACGCAACGCCGTTTTATTTTATTAGAAAGTCTCAAATGGCTTAAAAACAGGAGGACAGAAGTGCAGTTTCTACCTTTCCAGGCTCACTCTTCCATGTTCCCAGTCCAATGAGGGGCATCTTGCGCCCTGTGTTAAGAACTGCAAAGTCATTCATGCCTCTCAGAAGCACCTTAAAAAGAAAAACAGAGTAAGAGCCAGTCAGTGAGACCTGCTCAACTCAGGTGGCTGTGGAAAAGTAGGAAGTGTACACCATTCGGTAGTTTTATACTGCATAAACTGAAGACAAAGACAAGGATGCACACAAACACAGGTCTTAGGAGAAACTGACAGCAAAGGAAATATATGACGGTGTAACAACAGTATGTCACAGTTTTCACAGTATAGCATTATTATTGATATTCTCAGGTAGAATGACCAATTAATGCTTTGAAAACAGAGTTCAAACCATTAATGAGTCCAGCAGGTACAGCTGGACAGATAAGATTCTTGATCCATATACTTATTGTAGTGAAGTAGATTCTGGGGTAGGATTTTACATGATGTCCACAAACGCACCACTGACATCCACACCTTCCCAGCCCACAATTAGCAGGCTTATAAGAAACAGCTGCGCTTCACTATTAGAAGGAGGCATTTGGCAGTCTTGTCCATCCAAGGTGGCTGAGAGCAATAGGCAGTTAAGCGCTGCAGATCTCTCAAGGAAAGCCACTGAGTTTAGTATTGCCCTTTAGAGGGGTAAGTGGGACTCCTGTGTTCATCATAATGTGGCATAGTAGGGTGGACTTTGACAACTGTTTCCCTCTTTTGTTGCAGGTTTGCAATATACTGCTGCTGTCTTGTCACATGCTGTTTTGTTTGTTATGTGATGCTTTTATAACGAACAGTACTTTGGGGTGTAATTTTTTTATGTAGCTCTTTTATTAATGTGTGTAACGTTTTATGCTTTGTTTTATTGCTTTAGTGGAGGTGCGGCTGCTTGTTGAGGGACTAGGCACGTGAGGTGGAATCCCCTTCCCGATGCATGCGAGTGTACACACCGGGCATAGGTAGATTGCACCATTTAGAGTTTAGTGTGAGTGAGGTCTGCAGCGAAATCACACGGGTGAGTAATTGGTGGCACCCTTGGGCACTCCTCCCTGTAGGTTGCCTCCTCAAGTGGCCGGTCTCCACTATTTTGTTTAGTTATTCTTTCATCATGCTGTGATTGTTTTAGGGTGGCATCGTGGTAGGGAGTCTGGTCATTTTAATCATCGTTTGTTAATAAAGTGTTTTAACTATTTTGCCGTCTCAACCCTGCTACCTTAGGTGCCTTTTTGATTTTATAATTTTATGTTTTTAGTAGTAGTACTTAATAAATTTTTGATTTGTAAACTTCCTTTGTCTCACCTCTGCCATTAATAACGAGTCTGTGGGCTTTGGTAGCCAGTGCAACACTTACATTGGCTAGAGAAATCTTTCCTGGGGTGTAACTCCCTCCCCCAGGTGGCGTTGTCAACATCTTAGTTACCGTCCCCGGTTATTCCTCCTCGCGACACCACATTATTATCCCAAACATTACAGTCAAACAAATGAATATAAATAACAGCTGAAGAACTGGTATAGCAACTGTCCAACCAGTAAAAGGAAGATCCAATTAAAGTCATATTGACTGACAAATACAAGGAGAGACTGTGCAAAGCCTTTAAGTGATATCAATATCAAAATTTAGCTTAGATTAAACAAAAGATCACATGATGAGAACGCAGCCAGAACACTAGAATTAAGTTTGTATACAGGAGTAAAAATATTAGCTTATGAAAAAGATTTCTGAATTGAAAGCTTGCACATCTTAAAGTATGACAATTTCCAAAGTTGTTTTTGCACCAAAGGGAAAAAAGAAAAGCTGAAAAGGAAGCATGAAAGGAAATGAAGGCTGCTGACTTGCATTTTCAACAGCTAGAGGGATGTGATCATTCCCCTCACTATGTAAAATTACAATACTTCAAATAAAAAGACCTGAAAGTAAGAAACTTGAGGATTTTTCTCAGAGTTGGATTTGAGATTCAACAGACAAAGAAATTTCTCGAAGTGCACTCACACAAACATTAATTATACAAAACCCATATATGCAAAATTGTTTCTCATCTAATTTTGAACACCATAAAAACACATCTGCTTTGATAATACCTACCATAGACGTGTATCAGTCAATAAGTAGTACAAGCCCGGATGTGAATGAGCTCAGTGTGGCAGCGTGTAGAAGGAACTACATTCCTGTTGATCCAAGACACCTGTACCCGCCCTCTCTGACTCGCACCGCCTAACACAAACACTATCTGCTTGTTCCACGTTCCCATTCCTCTCAGACGTCTTCCACTGACGGCATAAATAGTAACTGCTTTCAGCTGCTTCTGTATTCACCAGATTTTCTTTGTCTTATGCAATTTCAAAGTGATTTGTGTCTCCTTCTGGGTGCCTGCTAGGGATGTTTCACTTGTTAGGCAAATGTGTAAACTACTACACTATGAAGCCACAAAGTTAAAAAAAAAAAACCTCCACATCAGTTCTGGTGGCTACTTGGTGCCTTTTGAGATTTTGAAGGCTTGATCACTAGATAGCAGAGGGTGGTGTAACTTTCCTCGGAAACAATTTATAGTCAGAATCTATAAATCATCTGTGAACTTCTTGGTTATCATCTATCTACTGACATCAGTAGCTTTCACTAACAGGCCCACACACTTTGTGGTTCCCACGTCAATGTCAGCTTTTAAGCACCTGATGCCTTTCTTTAAAAGCATTATAGAGAGACACATGACACTCTAAAAACTGAGCATTATTGATAGAAGTATGATCCCAGAGGGAAGGAGGGCAGTTTCTTTGTTTTGGCTGTTGAATGCATGCATGCAGTTTTATATCCAAATGACCACTGAAATGGCTCCCAAAAAAGTGGTCACCTACAAGGTGCATGCTGCTTTTTGCCCTTTGAAATAGTTCTATCATTGGTTGCAGCATAACTGTTTTTTTTCCTTTCCCCCCCTTTGTTAATCATCTTGTGGGACCTCATGAGGCTCATCAGGTTGGGAACCTAAAACGTGCCTCCTTTGGCTGAAATCTCAGTTCAAAACAATCTTGTTTCTTGTTCAATGCCCTTGATTCATTTCTGCAACACCTTAGTAAATGCATTACAACTAGAAAATGACTTTTATGGTTTTAGAGCTATATTTTGCCCTGTTTCAGCAGGTCTGACGGCTCTTTTTGATGTTGTATGTTAAACTTGTTTTCCTTTTGCATTCTTTTTTAATTGCAGGAAAGGAAAGCGGTGTTAATTTGGTTTACAACTCGACTGACCAATCTGCAAAAACATCAATATTTTCCAGATCTTTCCAAAAATCCCTGAAAGTCAGCTGGTTTTCTGGAAAGTCACGCGCTCTGCCACACCTCAATACCACTGTCCTCGCGTTCACTGTCCTTCGACATCAAAAAAACTGCTGACCCCCCCCCGCCTCACACGTAACATATCTGCAAAAAAGGAGTGACGTTTGTATTATGTAGCAAATGTTTGCAAACAATGCTACACTTAGTTAAGAGGGAGCTACGGTTAGATAAAGTATTGTGGCTGTGTGGTCACTCGGTGGCTTCGCTTGTTGCTGAGATTGTCTTCAGGAAAAAAAATGAATGTAACAGCTGCTCGTTAAAAACAGCAGCCGCCACACTTTCTGTTGAAATAACAGCCGGCTGCTGTTGTAGCTTCTATTGAAGCCAACTCTCACATTCTCTCGCGTTACTCCCTTTAAAGTCGGTTTTTAGTAGAAGTCTGCACATACTCACCCTGCTTCCGAAACTGACACACAAACGACACAGCGTCTGCTTTAGGAGCTGACACTTCAGTGACTGCATGCTGTAAAATTATATAACGTGAATTCTCCTTCACGGCTCTGTGCTCACTTTGATTCGTCAACTTACTGTTTCAAGGTTTTAAAAGCTGCCGACTTCAGTCAACGACCTGTTCCGGTTGTCCTCCTGCAGCGTAGGACCACTGTGCAAAGAGTGCTGTTTTCTGCTAAATGTTCAAAAACACCACCTCATCTTGTTGACGTTTTCCTTTTCCGGTATGATAGTTCTTCCATTTCCGGGGAATCTAAAGGTAGTTCACAGAAAAATAATAATAATAACGTAAAAATGCAGAAACCGTGTAATAGAACGGGAAAAGGTCTACTCTGAAATAAAGTAAAAACTATTGGATAACGAAATTATCTTAAATTAAGGGCATTCAAATAGGTTACTAGCTTTAGTGGCTTACTTTGCAAACATATATCGGATATCAATCCCAATGTAATTTATCTAGAGAACAAAAGAAGCGATGTTCCATTTCAAATTTACGTCGTTTTTATAAATAATATATAAACAAAGGAATAAAGTCCTTCGGATGTCCCCAAGTATGTTATTATGTAGTGGGATATTTTATCAGTGATTTAAAAGAAAAATATGGGTTTCCCCATATGGGTTTTTCTTTCTTTTGGGGCATATGGGTGCCCCAAAAGACAAAACTGCTGTGGGCTCTGTGTGGACACATCCACCTGGGACGCAGGTGGGTCAAATGTGGGTTTGCCCTGCTCATACAGCCCCACAGTTCACCTGCTTTTCTTAGGCGTGATCAGGAGGGACAGGTTACACAGCCTTGTGAGTACATTCGAGAGACAGTTGAGGCTGAGCAATTTGGAGACAAAGTTAGAGAGTCATGTGCAGAGGAGGGGTAGCGGATACAATGGACAGAGGATGTTAAATACTGAGCTGCCAGACAGGAGGAAAAGAAGACCTCAGAGGAGACCCGTGGAGGTATTTACACAGGACATACAGAGTGTTGGTGTGACAGAGGAGGATGTTAGGGATAGAGTGAAATAGAGGCAGATTTACCCTGTGATGACTCAAAAAAACGGTTAAATATTAGTTAAACTACGTTTTAGCTTATAGTTTAATTTTAGTTAACCATCATATATTTGTTTAATAATCTGAAATAGTGTAAGTACACTCCCTACCGGTAGGGGGCAAAGTGCTGAAAAATATGCACCACCAACAATGAAGGAGGGCGGTAGAAACGGAAGTAAGATCAATATCAACAACCTGAGTTTACAACTCAAGTCGAACTTCGCTGGAGTAGCGGATAACATTTCTGAAGTTATTGTTATAACTTCGTACGCTTTAATATTGTCCGGTGCATTATGGGGGAAGCTCCAGCCCGTTCGCTGTGGCGGCGGTTTATCTCTGTGCTCAAACTCAATGGCTAGTTTGGCGATAAGTTAGCTCACTTTCTGTCAGCTGACTGGCTTGAACTCACTTTGGCCGTCTCGGGTAGAAAACTGTCGTCTGATATGCTCGGATATTGCTTTCGGGTTAGTTTGAACACTGACATAGGCTTAGTCAGAGAGTGTGCTCGCTGCTGTTGACGCGTCCCGGTACAGTCGTCTTTGCAATGATCCTGCAGCTGCTGCCACCAGTCATCTAGCTGGCTCCTCTCCTCCTGTCCCCCCTCCCTTAATGGCTCACTGCGGCTCCTCCGAGCCCAGCGCAAAGGTACAGGCCCCGCACCCGGACAGCATCCTGCCCCCACAGGGCGGCGTAGACCAGAGCATGAAGCCGGTGCTGTTTGAGATCTTCGGCGAGCTTTGGACCGTCCAGTCGCGTCTCGGCCAGGGAGTCTCGGCCTCGGTGTACCGGGTCAGTTCGGGCAGAGCCACTGCAGCTGTGAAGGAGTTTCAAGCCGACACTCAGGGAGGAGATTACGGGTATCACAAGGAGAGGTCCGTGCTGGAAGACATCCAGGGACATAAAAACATCGGTAAAAGCCTTATTTCACTTGTGTAAAACTTTTGCTCTCATGTGGACCATTAAAACAGTTCCATAACAAACTACTTTTCTTTTCCTGTATGGAAGCACAACCTACCTAATCAGTCGTTTACAAAGCAGACGTAGAACAACCTTACATATCTGAAAAACTGCAATTTCAACAGTACATGTGTATACGAGAGCAGAGTGGATCTACAACAGCGGAAAAGCTTAATAGGAAGCATTTTCTAACCAATAAATGTCAAATGTATTAGAAAATCACTTCCTATTTTGCAGTATTTGCTTAGAAAACCCAGTCATCTGATTTGTCCCCACCCTAGTTTGTTTATTTCCTTTATAATAACTCATGAATCGTCATCTGGCCTTAAGTGGTTCTTAAAAGTTGTTGTGAAAGCTTAACTTCAGTGGATTGTAATAATCCATTTATGTCATGGGGATCATGTCTGTACAGATCAGCAAGATGGTCTTATACTGGTATGTCTTTCTGCTGGCATTGCACTGTTATTGACTGTTTTTGTTGAAAACCTCAATGAAGTTCTAAGTAATATAATTCTCACCATGTGTGTAACGATGCATTCTTTTCCCCCTTTTGTTTCTCAGTCACACTGTATGGAGTGTTTACCAACCACAGCTCTATGGGTGTGACCACACGCTGTCTTTTGCTGGAGCTCCTGGATGTCAGCGTGTCTGAGCTGCTGGTGAGGCGCAACAGTAGTACCCAAGGTGTAAGGTAAGTGAGGTGATATCACTATTGTGTGGAGTAGTGATTAAAAAAAGCCATAGCTCGTAGCCAGTATGGATGAAACTGTGAATAGATAGAATGCTGATTGGTTGGGGCACAAACAGGAATAGTTGTTCCACATATGACAGTAACCCCTGGTGACAGCTATCACATGTAGACAGTTGTCTGCAAAGCTCTACATAGGACCTAGGCACAACCAAGCCAATCCCATTACTCTGTCTATGGCAGATTCAAATCCTCACCATGTTTCATTTGCATTTTCCCCCATCCCGACACTGTCAATAGTCCCTGCAAATGACAAAATTTTATGATTTTGATTTGTACATGTCTACTTTTCAACTTAAACTGTCAAAAGTTTGTGGCATTTCTCATGGCAGTAGTTTCTATATTTACATTACAGACTTTTGCAACGTTATGCGTTAAATCTTTTATTACCGTCTAAATACATTGGACAGTAACATAGTTTACTTTTCCTAAAACATGAAGAGAAGGCTTCATGTTTTGCCATACTTGTGTCAAAACCTCATTCAAGCAGCACATAATGCCATCTGCTGGTCAAACAAACATGCTGCATGTATTGTGGCTGTACTACAACACAAAGTGACGTATTGTGGGATAGTTTGACAGCACTATTTATCAGTTGTTGGGAGTGAAGATTGTTCAGTTTTCCTTTTTTTCCAGATGTAATACTAGATTTTTAACAATATAAACAGCATCTGGATCAGTGATCATGTTATATAATAAATAATGTTAGATTTTGTTATTGCTAAGAGGATGTGAGCTACCTGTGTAACATCCTAGTTCAACATTTGTGTTTAGAGCCCAGCAGGGCCACTCCATGTGGCTTGTCCAGCACTGTGCCAGAGACATCCTCGAGGCACTCGCCTTCCTTCACAAAGAAGGCTACGTCCACGCAGACCTCAAACCACGCAACATCCTCTGGAGCGCTGATGACGAGTCCTTCAAGCTCATTGACTTTGGCCTCAGCTTCAAACAGGGAAACCAGGTGGGTTTTTGTTATTATTCTCAATATTTTAACCTCAACGATTTATTCCCTAACATTAAAAAAACATGATGCAATGACTGAAGTTAAAGATGTGTCTTTTTACAGGAGATTTGCTTTAACTTTAAATATTGTTCAACAGATTTTTTTAAAAAATCCAGAAAAAGGTGGATGTGGTGGAAGATACAGGTTCATTCAATAGTGAGTTTGGCACTGATTAGGTGGGTTTTGACCAGTTTGCGATGGCCACTAGTCTGTGGTTTCCTGCCGTTGTTGCAGGATGTCTGCAGGTGCAGATGAGACTAAAGAGAGGTCTAGGTGTTAGAAGACATGGATACCTCGGGAGACTTTGCGTGGCAGACTTAGGGCAGATGAAAGAAAGCTGACAGCCAGTAGCGGGCTGCTGAAAGCAGACCATGAGAGAGCCTGAGCAATTGGGAGATAAAGCAGCTGTTGTTATTCCAAGCTTCACCTTATGAAGGCATTGAGAGTTTTTCCTCTTATTGACAGAACTTCTTGACACAAGGCTCTCTGTTTGTCTTCTTGGTTGGAGCTGAACCAACTAGTGATTGAGTTTAAGCTTTTTTGAATCAGTCTGTATCAAATGCATTCAGAGCACACCATTTGAAAAGAAATAAATGCACTTAATAGAGATGACTAGAAAAAATGTTTTGTGCTCATTTTGTTTTTATGTTAGCTAAAGATAAAATAGTGTGTATTTAGATCTGAATGTTAATAAAAGAGGATCAGGGATAGCTCTGTTTGTGAAATTACGACATCCTTATCTTGCAGGATGTCAAGTACATCCAGACAGACGGGTACCGCGCACCGGAGGCTGAGCTTCAGAACAGCCTGGCTCAGGCGGGGGTGGAAATGGAGGGAGACTCGGGCTGCACGGCCGCCGTCGACCTGTGGAGCCTGGGCATCATCCTGCTGGAGATGTTCTCAGGAATCAAACTCAAAGACACCGTCCGCTCGCAAGAGTGGAAGGTATGGCAAAGCTCTCCAAGTTTTAAGCAAAGAAAAATCTAATAACACAGACCTTTGGTGCAATAGAAAGACATGAGCTTACACAGTATGGTTTTCTGCCCTGTAGGATAACAGCGCTGCCATTGTAGATCATGTCTTCGCCAACAACAGCCTGGCATGCCCTGCCATCCCCGTCTATCACCTCAGAGACCTTATTAAAAGGTAAAGAATCATCCACTAAACAGTGAAGTCTTATCATGATGGCTCTGGTTGTTGACTCATGTTACTGTGTGTCTGCAGCATGCTTGTCACTGATCCAAAACAAAGATGTTCAGCTGAAACTGCCCTGCTGAGCCCATTCTTCAGTATTCCCTTTGGTAAGTGTCAATATTTGAGCCATTCACCAAGATAAACACAACTGTCTGGTGTGTTATACTTAGGTATGTGTGTGTGTGTGTGTGTGTGTGTGTGTGACAGCACCTCACATTGACGACCTGGTTCTGCTGCCTTCTCCTGTTCTGCGTCTGCTCAACCTAATCGATGACAGCCACCTGCACAATGAGGATGAATATGAAGGTACAACAGCATGATTTTTACGTTGTTTTTTTTCCCATATTTTTGTGTTGCTTCTATCCTTCACTGATTTCTCAAAGCTTTATTATTCCATCGCTTGCCTCAGTTAAGTAAAAATGTCGGATTGTCATTCCCAGATATCCTGGAGGACATGAAAGAGGAGTGCCAGAAGTACGGATCCGTGGTTTCTCTGCTCATCCCCAAGGAAAATCCAGGGAAAGGACAGGTGAGTGTTTTTGTCCTTCTAAAGGTGCTTTTTAAACTTTCCTTCTAAACAAATACAGCTTTTTCATACCTTTCAAATGAATTAAAATCTGAGAAGGTTTTAATCTTCCGTCATTTTACAGTTGCTGTATTTTATTAAGAGAAGCCTTGAAAGAAAACATTATAGTTCACACTTCCTTTGCTGCTGCAGGTTTATATTAAAACATGTTTATTTGCAGACTTTTCATCTCACTGTATATAAATGTATATCTATAAATGCCGTTCAGAAGATGGATTAATAATGCAGTCATTACAGCAGAAAATGATGACACATTTATTTTAAATTTATTTACCTTTATTTTAGCATGAAGTCCCATTAAATCAGATGTTTTATAAAGGAAAATTGTTTGCAGCTCATTGTCTAAATGAGTTGAAAGCATGTATTCAGCATAGCTGTAAAATACAAACAAATGCACCCACTAAATCTTCATTTCCCTTCTGTCCACAGGTGTTTGTGGAGTATGCCAACTCCAGCGACTGCAAAGAGGCTCAGAGGCTGCTGACAGGCCGCACCTTCGATGGAAAGTTTGTCGTGGCTACCTTCTACCCTCTGAGCGCCTATAAAAGAGGTTACCTCTATCAGACTGTCCAGTGAACTTTTAAATCCTCAATTTACACCTCAGCATAGTTTGCATGTTAAAAACACAACTGCAAAGGTCACCAATGAGTAGCTGCCCTGCAGTTTAAGCTCTCATGAGTGAGTGTAGTTCTCCATGCAGTTTTCTACAGCAAATCTGTGTTTCATGCAGAGTGCAAACTGAGCTGTGGTGAGCCTCCGCCTTCAGTCTGTGTGCTCTTTTTATCCATCCAGTGCTTTAATATATACTAGATCTGTCTCATTTAATATCTGTTAGCCAGAGGCCTGCGTTCCGGGGACTGCAGTGCCTGTTCGAGCTTCCGTATCACTTTCATTCACTCATAAAACCTCCCATCAGAGTTGCAAGATGGAAAATTACAGCTGCATTTAAAAACTTCTAAAGGACATCTCACTTGATAAATACATAGATAGAGACTTTATTTCATCAGCTTTATACAGAATGCTGCTAAAAACATGTAGCAGATGTTAAGTAGTAATTTAAAGGGAGTTTTATGCATCAAACTCAAAACTAATGACAAAAACACCCTGAAAATCACACCCCTTCAAAGTGAAAATTTACTGTGGTGAAAGCAATCTGTTAATATTGCCTATTTATATATCTTTTTAGGTTAAACATTTTAGACGAAATGACATGGTACCAGGGGAATATCCAGGTGTCTTATGCCTGTTTTCAGGGAGATATTGTTTGACTAATGCTTCCACTAGCTGATAGTTTTCACTCACTAACTCACTGCCATTATCTGAGCAAGCCGAGGGGTCTCTGCACCCTATCCTGTAGCCTTATGCGTCGTAGCCTTTCATTTAAAGCCAATGTGCTCTATTATCTATTTTGATTATTTTCATTGTGTGTGAAACCCTTCAGAAAAACATGCGGTAAGCATAGTTGTTGTTGTTTTTTTTCACTGCAGCACACAAGCAAGAAAATTAAGAGATAAAACTGAAGAACTAGTAGGTAAATAAGCCTGTGAACAAAAATGGTTCCAGCAGAGGCGAAAATGTTTTCTAACTTCCTCTAACTTGAGCCAGTGATGTGTTCTGTTTACCTCGTAATTTTGTAGTCCGGAGCCAAAGCATTAACCAGATATTGGCTGCAGATGTGTGCAGTGGGACATTGGAGATTACCCCGAACAAGTGGTGTAAAGCCACTACCTGGACGATAATTGTAGCCTCTTTCATTAGGACTTTTTTTTAAGACAATCTTGAGTTGGTACAGTCCGTGTTGCTGTCATCACTGTTTATAAATCTTGCACATTGTGGCTTTAAAGGCTGTGCAGTACTGTTGCAAGGTGAAGGCTAATGTACTAACTAGATAAGGTTTAATATATGACAAGCTTCCAGTGTGTTGGTGCATGATCCAGGTGATTGATTGTACACTGCCAGCCCAGTGTTGTAGCATCATCGTCCTGTGGTAGTACTTTTCATACTAAAGCCAGTTTCTTGAAATGCTGCTTTTTGCATGATGAGGGAAAAAAAAGAAATCAAAACAAAACATGTAGCCTTGAGATAAAGATTTCCTGGAGCCAACAAAGTTAATATTTTGCATCTTTTAGCAGCAGGTTTTGGTGTTTTTGCAGTGGAATGTGTTTTTTGTTTTCTTGGTTTTATTCTTTTCCATTACTGGGTTTATAGTAAACACCAAGACCGCTCTGAAAGTATTTTGGAACATCAGACAATTTCTACACAAGTGCCCTATGACATTCACAGGCTAGCTAACTAACCAAAATGCTGCTATGACAGCTGATTGTGCTACAGCTGCATGTGCTTATAGCTAAAGCCTTTGCTGATGCCTTATGAAATAACCTACTTCCAGCAGTTTTAGTGTCCACACAAATTAAAGTGGACTGTTACCAACAATAACCTGGAACAAATCATTTTTCTCTATTCCTTCATTAGTTGCTCACTGCTAATTTTTCTTCTTATAGCCTAAGTAGCTATTAATCAAAAGCTCGAAGCTACATTTGACAGTGCAGGTGTTAGCTGCGATAAACACTAATGCTAATACTGCAAGATTCTAGAAGTGAAATTCCCGTTATATTCTTCATGTTGATTTTGATCGTGAGCTGTAATTTTGTAACCTTCTAAAGCAGACTGGCTACAGGCGACAACATTATGAAGCAGTGCTGTGTGCTCTTGTAGAAAGCAGATAGCAACCTTGTTTTAACAAAAAAAGCATTTTATTCATAGTAGAGTAAAATGGAAAAGAACTACTTCACCCACAATCATGACCCAAATCCTCAAATTCTGACTTGAATCCTTCTTGAAACGGAAAAGCCGCAAACAGTGATTCCAGGCAGGAACAAAGCCCTTTACTCTTTAGAACTTCTACTTTACTACATACGCAAACATCAACTACAAAATATATTGACAGCTATTATTTTACAACACTATGATGGTAAACACAATTAAATTCAAGAAGACTGAAAGTTGTTTCCTCTGGAATCTGGGGTGTGCAGTGCATTGTGGGATGTCTAGTTCCTTCTCCGTTAAAAGTAACTTATGCGCATATTATTGTACCTTTTGATTTTTTTCCCTTTATTGTTTTTAACCAAAGTAAATCTTTTTGTGTTTTTTTTTTGTTTGTTTGGTTTGTTTTTTATGATTCCCCTCGTAGCTGGTTGACTTGGTTTGAGGCTTAAAACTCTTTAACTTTCTGAACAACAACATGTAAAGTGCTTTGAGTGCTTAGAGTAGAAAAGCGCTATATGCGAACCACATCATCAGAGAAAATGAATGGGATATTCACTTCTAGAACCGGAGCTCTTAGAAACATGGGTGGTTACTGTTGAACTAGCAACAGCTAGCAACAAAACACCTTTGATTATATTAAACTGAACAAAGGTTTTTTGTTTTGTTTTTTTGCTCAAAGTTACCCTTACAGTTGACCCATTATGCTTTTCCTTGTTTTCTGCTGCTGAGGGCAGATTTCCATAATACATCTTGTGTTTTGTAAGGATTAGCTAGTCAGAAGAAATTTGGCTACAAGGGAGAGAAAACGATTTGTTTCAGACAGGGTGGACTGAAGAGTAAGGCTCAGTATGTGGTAAAAGGAGTTATTCTGAAGAGTGAAACATGCAAAGTCACTGTATTGGAGTCCAGTCATAATGATATTGAGCTGGCGTAATAAGTTTTCTTTAAAGTCTGGTGTGTGAAAAGCAGCAGCTGGGTATGCTGCTGAAACATAAAAATGTGATAGAAACCAGATGGTGACGTCGATGAGGAGAATACATTTATGCATTAATACTCTTTTTTTAAAAAAAAAATATAATCCGATTTCATTTGGATTATACTTAAAATATAAACTGAAAGAGAAACAGCAGCGTTATCCTTGAAAAGGTCTAAAGATGTATTTTTCTACAAACTTTATGTTTTTGCCTGAAATGTGAATTCCAAAGTTGAGAGCATCTCTGTTGAGTTGAGAGCTGAGAGCATCGCTGCCCTGAAATCTTGATTTTTAAAACTTGATTCCTTCCAACCACTTTATGGTAAAGCCAGTTGTAGATCTGTGTCATGTAAGCACATTATGTAACAGTAAAACAGGGCTAAATAAAAAAACACCCCACATCTACTCACCCAGTCAGATTAATTAATTGGCTTACAACGTGTTACAAGGAGAGATTGAATATTGTGAATGAATTCCTTGTTTATGTGGAATATAGTAAGCTATTCTCCACCTAAAATGGGCTGTAAGGGTGGTTTCACTACTCATGAATACCGACTGGGGCCATCCACAGTTTCTTTTGGACTGCCAGCCACAACACACAATAAACCAGAGAAGCACAGAGACGAAGTTCAAGATGTTCGACTGAAAAAGAACAGAATAAAACCAGCTTTTATATCGAGCGACTGCTTAACATGAATCCACACTGTTGTCGTTAAAGCGCTGCATCGTGGTTCGTTTCATATGTTTTTGTCGTATATAATCAGTTGAGTTGAGTTGTGGTTTTTACTGTTAGTAGTTTATAGTGAAAAGGGCAAAGCAGGTCTGTCTGTGGCTGCACCTTCAAAATGATAATGTGACCAGCTGGCTTTTATAAACGAATAGAAATACTCGTTGATTTTATGAAGCATTTGTTACCTGAATGTCTGAGTCCAGTGCTGCTCTTTATTTCACTGGAAGCATGAATATAAAAAGAAAATGCTTCCACAGAGCCATGAGAGAGAGACGTGGGGGGAATCCTTTGGCAGTTTTAAATGTTTGAGTGGAATATTTATTCAGGTTGCAGTTTTTTTAAGGTGTTTGCTGATGGTGGTTTGAGATGGCTGATGGTTTTAATGTGTTTGCTATGATGCAGAAACAATGTTTTTTTTTTTTTTAGTTTGTTTGTGATTTTCTTTATTCATTTAGGTAAACTTGCAGTGTGGAGCTTTGTCTCCCGTGTCTGGCAGTGGAAGTCATTTCAACACTGTTAACGCATGCTGACCATGATTGTTTTTACACACATCATCAGAAACTCTTCTTGGAAGTTTCCTAGTTTTTTTCCACTTTCCTCTACTCTCTCTGCATTACTCTGGTCGCTTAACTCTTCAGTTGTGGCAACCCAGTTATTGCTGGGTAGACATAAAACATGTTGCTACCAGTGCATCAAATTTAAAACTCGGGTACTCTATGAGCAATCATAAGCTTAATAAGCTTTGTGTTTAGAAAGACCTTGAATGTGTGCCACAGTCCAGCTTTACATTTTGAGATTGGGTAAAGTTTATTTAGATTTTTGTTTTTTAATATATTAGTTAAAAAAAAATTTTCTTTGCTCAAGACAGAAAAGACGCTCAGCGCCGCCTCATGCTGCTGGCACTCGCAGAAACTCGAGCAACTGAAAACGTACGCTGGCCTGAAAGTAATCCACAGATGGTTGTCTGGCTGCATTTTTGAAACCCTGCAGATAGGAACTGCATTTATGTACTTTTATCACTCATAAGAGAGCAAAGTGTGAGCAAATCAGAATATCCATGGTAGTGTTACGCCTCCTGTTTACGCCCTCTGAGGCTTGTATCTCTATCTTGTCTCTGAGGCAGCTTCTCACTTAAGACTTAAATCTATTATTTTGTCTTGATACACTTCTTAGGCACTCAGTTAAGGTTGTTGATTATAAATTTATTTTCTTCATTTACGTGACTGCTTGTTGCAGCACTAATGCACACTACTTTATGTGCGAATGCATTAGTGTTTGAAGTATCTGGTTCTCTGTGTGTGTTTGTGGCATTAGAGCTCCTTCGAGTATTTTATGATGTTGTTCAGCAGAGAAATTATTATTATTATATTAGGGTTCAGAGGTGGGCGATGATTTTCTTTGTCTTTCTTCCAGTTAGCTGTCCCACTTTTGACCTGCATTTGAGTGTGTGTGCAGAGGATTTTGATCCTTCTTTTTCCCCCTTTTTTCCAATTTAATCCTGCCTGCTCTTGTAGTCTTCCATCCTTCTTCCCAAATCCAATGCTGTGATTCAAACGTGGCTCATAAGTGCTTACTTTTCCAACTTTCTTTAAGTTGTAAAAAATGAGATTTGTTCTCTGCATATTCCATCTGCTTCACTTAAATTCTGGGTTTGTTTTCCTTGTAGCTGCTAGTGAATCAAGGTGCAGCTTTAAGTCAGTCCATTTTCTATATTTCTGCCATCAAAGATATATTTTTTCAGAGTGTACTTTATCTTCACTGCACATTTATTGTGCATCTGGATAGTGTCTTATATGTGTGCACACCTGTGTGGAGAATGAAATAGCAGTGAAAAAGTTAAAAGGCTTCTAGCTGTGTGCATGGCGTGATGTGTAATATGTGGTGGGACTATACTGCTCCATCAGCATGTGTGTGGTGATATGGCTCTATATACCAGTTTGCTTGCAAAGGCAATCGAAAAATCCTTTGAAATGACAAACAGGGAGTCAGTTTAGAGCTGAAGAGTGAGTGAATATGAAAAAGTGCCGCCAGCTGTTTAATCTTTAACACAACTGTTGAATGATGTCCTGTTATTGAAAGCACATTATCAAAGGAATATCTTGAAATTCTTTACAGCACAGCAGATAAAAGCTGAAGATTAGATCAAATATAAAGAACATCAGCTGCTTCATTTACAGAAAACATCAACTGACAGTGAAATGAGCGAGCTAAACGTGAGCAAGAACACTACAACAGTAGAAATGTCCTGTTGGTTCAGGTTTTTTTGCTGAATTTGAATTTAACATGCTGCATATTGACAAAGTGTTCAGAAAAGTGTTCTTCGTGTGAATAATTGTCATTTTTCTTTTTAAATCTTTTAAAGCTGCAGTAATTGATCTGATTTTTCAAGCTAGTAAATCCAAACAATAAGTCTACATGGGTTCAGGGGAAAAAAGCTCTGTGGAGCTGAGAAGACAGTCGCTCCCTATGACATCTTTCACGTTACCCTTTGTCATTTGACAACAAAGAAACTGATTAGTGCAGCTTTAAAAGTGTGTTTCTGCACAAACAGGTCCCAAAGTACTGACCTGAGTTTTCTTTTCTTTTTCTTTATAATATCTGACCAACTACTGTTGTAAAATCAGGTTTGGGTATCAATGCCGAGCAGGCAGCACAATCTCTGAGGGCTCAGAAATACCAAATCCAGACCGGAGTACAAGCTGAGTGAAACCAAATGATGTGAGAAGCGAGAGAACTTGCACAGTAATTATTGTCATTTCGAGTCCGAACAACTTTAAAAAAAAAAAGGTCTTTTAGTGTAATCATTTAAAGAGTCGAAAGACAATCCACAAGACAAATGTTGCCTTTTGTTTTTGGTTGAGGCCTTCCTGTTGATTTTATGTTTGAGAAGCAGTTTACTGAATGTTAAAGTTAGATGATCTTCCAGAGAGCAGTGAGTCCATTTGAAGCTCAAAACTGACTGATTGCTCATAAATCACAGCGATGTGAGGATTTCTGTCCTCAGTGATGAGTCCTTCTTACTGAATATCCCACTCGTCACTGAAAACAGATGATTGTTTTTGATTGTTACAGATCGTCTGCTTAGAGAAAGCACAATGTAAGAAGGTCACTGTATGCAAGATGCATGCAACACGTGTGAACCTGTGTGTGTTAATCCATTCTATAGAGCCTTCCAGATCACAGTAACCCATGGCACTCACTGTGTTTGAGTGTATCACAATAAAAACAATGCTTGACTTGAAACTGCAGTCTGTCTGGTGTTTCGGGACTCGGGATTTTCTCTCTTTTTCTCTCAGAAGACTTAAAAAGACCCCTATATGTTCATTTAACAGTCAAAAATGAAAGATGGCTGTTATGTCCAGTATAAAGTAATATTTAATAAATTACATTACTGGGATAAAAAGTCAATTTGTGTCTTTTCTGCAGTTCATTCTGTCCAGTAATATTGAGTGGAATGCCTCTTAGTGGTCACTGTTGGAACTGCAGTCAGCAGGTATAGTGAGAAACCATCTCAGCATGGTTCAAACTCGGGAATTCCATTTACCAGATTGATGAGGTTTGGTTAGAGATCCTCTAAGGTCTTGTATATCAGTAATGAGGTAATTGTATTAAGAACTGAAGATGCCTCTTGGATAAGAGGTGAAAATCTTAAAAAAAAAACCAACAACTTGAAGTCCAGTTGCCTTTTTCTCAAGCTCTCAAGACTAAAGGTAATTGTGTCGTTAAACTTAAAATCCAGGTTATTCGCCTTTGAAAATCTAAAACCGAATGCTTTGATTCCCAAACCTTTTCCTGGGTTACTTTCCCCAAAAATATTTCTCCAACTCAATGAGAGGATCCAGAATAATTTAAGGTAAAAACGCATATCATCAGCAAATCTTTTGTGTAATTTATTTTGGTTTACGTAATTCCCTCATTCTAATTTCACTGATGCACCTCAGCCATCAGTGTTGGACATGTGTCCTGCGTTCTGCACTTACCACCTAAACCAAAGCATTTACAGTAGTGTAAACACAGGTAAAGTAAATTTTAGATGGGCATGCATAAATACGTACACATCGATGGTTATGGTTCAGAACCAGGGAAAAAAACACTGATAATCCCCTGATGTGTATCAGTTGTGTCCAACATTAAAAATAAATGACTAAACATCCTGACCTGATTCTCCCAGGAGTCTTGTGAAAACAGACAAGGTGGACAAGGAGGTGGACAAATGCTATAAAGACAAATGCTGTCAGATTTTATTTAATCCAAAGTCCGATGGCACTTGGTGACAATCTGATTAAACAATTGCTGAAATCACTGATTCACTCATAATGTAGTTTCTGTTCTGGCCACTGTCACATGTTTCCTTTGACTGCCCATCACGGTGTAGAGAAAGGAGATGATACATCTTTACTTGGTTGCTCCTGTAATAAAAAAGAAATTTAATGTGGATTTGATCAAATTATTTTTAGACTAATCAGCACAGAAGGGACACAACTGAAGATGTGCTGACTCTGTTTTACTCGTACTCACTTCCACGAATCCAGATATGTTATGAATGATCACCCCCTCCTGCTGTCTCCTCATCTTACTCGTCCTCCAGGCTTTCCCCACAATCAGCATGGAAACCACCAGCATGAGTCCTGCCACTGATCCAGCGATAGCTATGACTACAGTGGTGTTATTGAAAGCTCCCTGTGGAGCTGCTTGATCTGCTGCCTTTATCAGTCTCTCATCACCATGGACGGCAGAGTCGGGCATAGGCTGCGGCTTCAACAAGTCCGATATATCTGAGGGAAGACAAGAAAACTATATTGTTGGGGTAGAAAGCTGTAAAATATGAACACATCTCAGAGCCAGGCAATTATGTTGAAGCCTCTCCAAAAATGGCAAGGCTAACCAAACAGGGGTGGGTCATAATATTTGTCTCAGAATTGTAATTCTGATCCAAACATTATTTTCCCATCTGTTGTCACCTTCCAGACTGAAGAGGAAGAAGGCGTCGTCTCCTTTGATGAAGTATCTGCTCCTCAGTCTGTCGTGGGTGATGAAGCTACTTGTTCCTAACCCTGGGCCTCGATAGTAATAACTGCCATCAGACTCAGTTATTTTAGAGCCCACAATCTTGGGATTATCCCAGAAGAACTCATTACCTGGAGAGAAAAAATGGAAACGCAACAGCTCACTGAAAACACGGAATGACTTGGCAAATAATTAGTTAACCTGTTGCCCCGCTTCCTACCATCAGAGGACATCTTCGCAGGGTCAGTTGTGATCATTCGGTTCATGTTCATGTGCTGCCTGATGTCGGACTGCTGATCCATCAAGGTCATGGTTACTTGGTGCCATGGACATGGCCACTTGAGATTGTCGTCATTGGGGCCTGAGGTCAGGTGGAAGTAGATGGCCATATACCCTGGATTGCTGCTTTGCCCATTTAGGTAAACACCTACCTGAAGAGGACAGGGCAATATGAAGTACTGAGCACTTTAAAGGTAGAGACGAGCACTTTGTAGCTACCACAGGGTTTCCACATTCATTACCTAATGTACACTGGTTCAAAAACCTTTTGTTTCTCTCCCATTTGAAAAAGACAGGCTCTAAAATAGTGACTAAATGTATTTGAACGTCATAAATAAAAAAAATAAAAAAACACAAATAGTGTTTTATTTATTATGGAGGACCGTACTTTGAAGTGTTTCCAGTTATTTTTAATGCAACAGAATTAAAAAGATATATGAATATTAAATACTAATTAATAGTAATTTACCTCGAAGGTGTAACCTGTTGGTGACACAAAGCGAGGGCTGCTCATTTTCTTTCCAGCTGGTGTGGTGGCCAGCAGCTCGTTGATGCCACGGATGTGCCAGATGTGATGAGGACACTTTGTGGATGACAGGTTAATGTCATCCAAAGAGAAACCTCCCTTTGATGGATTCATTCCCCTCACGCCCTCGAAAACCACTCGGGCCTTCTGTGTCACGTTCAGGTTGATGTTGTACAGCTCCCAGGAGCCCATGACACCTCCTGCAAAGATGGAAGAACAGATGTTAACTCTTAATTTATCATTTATATCCAAACTTTAACACATCTGTGTATAAAGTTTTTCATTCATTTAAAACTCAATTTAATTGTTCTTTTTACAAATCTCGGTTAAATGTATTGATGCTTTCGCTAAATGTCACCAAATTCAGAACTTTCCAAATCACACCTTTAACAATAACCTTCACAATCACAACTCAGTCTGTATGTCATTTCTTACCTGAAATGCTGTGGAAGAGCTTCATTTTCCCATTGGGGTTGGCCTTGTCGTACTCTCTCACCCAGATGTTGAGAACATCATCGTCTGCCCCGGAGTTATAGAGGAAGAACTGCAGACACTGGGCTCCAGATTTGGGATAAAGCCAGCGACTCTCCAGAAAAGCACGCTCGCCAGGTTGTGCAGAGGCTGTGCTGAAGTGCATGAAGTAACCTTTCCCTGGACAGCAAAAATCAATGGTGATATTAAGTATCAACATTGTGATGTTACAGTAAATCTGATTGCCTGTGAAAGACAAATAATTGTTGAAATACTGTATTTCAAACAACTACAGATGCTTGATGCATCTCTCTTCTTTTTAAGACGACTTCTTTTTAATGACTCAACATCTTGAGATATGCCAAATTATCAGCTAATTGAGAATCAACTTCTTGGTGCAAAAACATTATCTTATGCCTGTCAAACTGTGTTATCTTTAGTATTTTTCCTAGGTTTGACTAAAGAAACTGAAACAAATTATGTGTTTTTGTAACAGACTTCTAGTAACAAAGTGCCTACAGGTACAATTTAAATGGTTTCTTTGCTAAATTTTCTGTTTTGTGTAGACACAACACTAGTTCATCAAATTAGTTAAGTGCTTTTAACGCTTAAATGAATAATAGGTTAGTGGTTCAACAAACAACAAAGCATTCTGCTTACAATGGTCATGTAGAAGGACTGGACTGCAACTGAGTGAAAAAGCAGCCAATGACAAAAGAAAAACTTTGAAAGACCTTCAGAAACCATGAAAAATTATTGCTCAACACCACTTTAAAAATCACAAGATGGACTCAAATTTAGATTATTTGATATTATTATTTTGATTATAGAATCAAGATATAAAGAAATTAGGAGTGTCATGAGAATGTTGCCAAGTACTGTACAGACTAGGCAGTAGTACCTAGAGAGTACTACCTCAGTAGCAAGCAGTTACCTTAAAGGTACAATAAAGAACTTTATTTTCTGAATGTGTTAAATCTTTCACATTGAAAAACCTTCCAGATCTGTTTGTGAAGTCCTACAAACATTGGTCATTGCTTTCTCTTTATAACAACAGGATATAGGTTTGAAGATTCTTAGCAGGCATCGATTTGTATTCTCTTGATGTACCACTGGTATTAAAGCAGTGGGATACTGGGTTTGTATTTTTGTTGTTAGCACAGCAGTAGTTCAACTTAATGAATAGAAAACCAAATAAGGAATGATTCTCTCTTTTAGTGAGATCAGTATTGAAGCATTTTATCCTTGCCAAGTTTATCGTATAAACACTTGCAAGTTCTTTTTCTAACAAACTAAGCGTGTTTTTGCGAAAACAATAAATCCCTTTATCTTCATTCCAGTCTGAACTTTGCACAGGTCACTGCTGTAAATCACCTCGGCTCTCTTTGTTTTTCAGATACATGTAACCAAAGCAGTAGCTCCTAACTCAGATAAGAGCACACAGGTAATCATTCCTTGGAACTCTCAACATCTCTCCTCAGACATCCCCACCCTCCACAAACCAGAGCCCAGTTTTTGAAAGTGCACTAAATGTTTTTGTAGTGCAAACTATTTATTTAACTAAGGGAGAACTGTTGGGATTAAGAATCCCTTTGTGCATGGAAAGATCCTTCCATGAAGGCTTAGCATAATAACACACATTTTTGTGATTATTCATGGTTACCTTTGCATTGTCCCAAATTGGTGAAATCAGTCTGAGGTCCTCCAGCCACTGAAGCAAGCTGCTCCCACTTTGCATCGCCAGAGCCCTGAATCATCCCGCAGATGTTCTCCTCCTCAAAATTACAGCTGTCCACAAAGGTGGAAGACGTGGCTGTTGAGGGGAAGCAATCACACTTTCACTGCTCGATCTAGTCCTATGGACAGAACACTGCCATTTTCCCTCTTTACAAAAAATACGTTTTAACTTTGGGGGAAAAAGATGGCTAAAATTGAGAAATTAGCAAAAAGAAGAGGAAGC